GAGGCATGTATGCATGCATAGAGCCATGTATGCAGGCATGGGTAGATATGTTGATTCTCTAGGATGCAGACCCGGAGGCAGAGGTTGGCAAGAGGAGGGTTGGTTTGATTTTGTTTGTGTGTTTGTGTGTTTGTTTGTTTGTTTGTTTGAATTTCTCTTAGGACCAATCTCTGTAGAAGAGGCCAGGGAAGAGGAGAGAGGCAGCTCATGTTAGGTGGAAGAAACACTTGCTCCAAACTGAATCTGAAACTGGGCAACCCTAGCAGTGTGTAGTATAGGATTTGGAACATGGGGCGACACTGTTTGTTCTCATGGGAAGTTTCTGAAATAGTGTATATGAATATGAGCAGATAAAACCATTTTCTGCATTATTTTTCTTTTTGAGAATATATAGCACTTGCTTTTTCATTTGACAGCCAAATGAAATTATAGCCACATTCTCCATTAGCGTTTTCTCTAATGATTCACTCTCCTCCGCAGTCACCACAGCTTCCACTTTAATCCACATTTAAAACGCTAACTCACTTTCTCTTTTTTTCTGAGACAGGGTTGTGTGTGTGTGTGTGTGTGTGTGTGTGTGTGTGTGTGTGTGTAGCCCTGGCTGTTTAAATCTCTAGAAAGATACCTATAAATAATTTTGTTTAGTTTTTCCAGTTATTTGGCCTTTCATTTATATAAAATGACTGTGTAGGTGGATGTTTGGGGTGTATTCTATGTAAGTATGTAGGGGGAAAAAGCTGAGGGTATATCTCAGTGGCAGAGTCCTTGCCTGGCATGGATAAATACCTGGGTTTGATTCCTAACAGCGTAAAGAAGAAAAAAGAGAAAGGGGAGTAGAGAAGGAAAAGAAAAAAAAGAGAGAATTTAAAGAATAAACTTCATTTAACAACCTCTCCCTGGACAAAAAAAAAATAAAAAAAATAAAAATAAAAAATTAAGATGAATCCTTTCCATCCCATATATGTTGAGGCATAATAGTATGCTATTTTTGTTTTACATCAGAAATGTTCTTTTTGGTTAAATGCTTAGTGGCTTTCTTAGACATCATTGCTTGGAAATAAATTTGAACATGATCATGGAAAATCTACCCATGTACAGACTATAAAACTGGAAAGCTTGGCAGCACAGAGAGTGCAGGACACACCCTAATAGAAACCAGGATTTTGTAATTCCGTTCTCTGGGAAGAAAAGGAGACACGTTGGTAGTGTCCAATATTGCTCAAACTAGAGAAACCACAGAGACAGCCACTGGAAGCTAGATTCTGTTTCAAAAGTAAAACATGCTTTCTGTGAATTGTTCTAGCCCCCAAAGAAAGGATTTTTATAATGACACACTGCGTCCGGGGAGACCTCAGGCTTACTTTATTTCACACGATAGAGGCGCCCACTTTTCATGTGAGACAGGAAGTGCTATTACTGGTGAGCCCGTGTGTGTGTGTGTGTGTGTGTGTGTGTATTCTGTGTTCCCAACTTGGGGCCTGCAGTGCAGCTTGAAGGTTATAAAACAGAGAGTAGAATGGAGGAAGGCCGTAGAGGGCTGCTCTTCAGAGGTTCTTCTCTGCTGCCTTTGAATCCTGCGTTACCGGTTTCTACTGGGTAAAATTAAGAAAGGTGGTGAGGAAAACTGGAATTAGGGATTCTAGGGTAAACGAAACAAGGACTGGAAGTGGTAAAACAATGAGGAGACAGTAAAAAAAATGGTTTTTGCCACCCAAAGCCCAGCCTTAGAATGGTACTTAATTTTTTTAAAGGCCTTATAATGTCTTTGGGATGTGGTTGCTTATGCTTGTGGCATTTAATCTTATATTAACTGTCCTTCTGGGCTAAATACTAGGAATCGCCTAATTTTTTAGGCAACGAAATAGGGGCACAGAACTGTGCAGCTTAGGAGTGGAGATGAAGCCAGCCTAAGTCCCAAACCTTTCCTCTTGTACAGGTAGACCATGCATTAGATGGACACGAGGTTGCTTTGCATAAAGAACCCTGACAACTGTCCCACCCCAATGAGGACATTGTTTCTCCACAGGCTTTGCTGTAAATTATAGACACACTCTGCATTAGTAGTCACAAGTGGGCAAGAATAAGTCCAAGTGGGCTACAGAGTCTACGGGTGAAGGCAGTCTCTACCGTTTGGTTTCTGTAGCTGTAACATAGTGCCCAAACGGTGTTATTTATAAAGAAAAGGAGCTTATTTAGGCTCATGGGTTCAACTTGAATATTGGAATGGAGCATAATCTATTCAAACCAAAGCACACAGGTAGAAAGAAAGAAGCCACACGAAGTCACCACTAGGGAGAAATGTCCCCGGAAGGACCCAGCAGCTGAGGACATCTTTAGAGTTATGAGGGCTATTGAGAGGGGAGCTAGACACTGTTAAGGGGAATTAAGGGAGGTTTCAATGACAGAATATTCTCTTTCAGAGTAACCTAGGTTGGGTCCTGATTTGTTTTCACACCAGATTTTAGAATCATCTTCTAAAAGCATCTTGTAGATGCTTCAGAGGACAGCAACTACTTGAACTGGTTGGGGGAAGAAAACTCGAAACCCAGATGACAGCACAGTGAAAAGAGTTTGGAATTCACAGATAGCCTAGGTTTGGGCTTCTATATTTAGTTACTGCTTTGTAGTAACATTATTTGGGGGGCTGATAGGAATGCGAGCTCATGGGAGAACATGTGAAGACAGAGCTAAGAGGAACATTGGACAGGACCTTAAAGGCAGATAGGCTTTTCCCAGGAAAATAGTTATCCCGAGGCAATCCTGAAAAGACCCAAGGCAGCTTTGTTTGGAAAGTGTGTTTATATGAGAGCAAGAGGCCCTGTTCTTCAGTGTTTACTCAAGGATGTAAACAAACAAACAACAACAAAACCCATGTGGCTAAGCAGGGTGAGAACCGCAATTGTCTAGACCCAGCGGCTCCCACGCTCTTTTCTAAAAACACATGTAACTGTGTTGTTGTTTTAAACAAGGGGCTGTAGCTCTCCTAGGGTCCTAGAGGAAGACATGAGTTTATTTGGCGTACACTTCACCATTGAGGGAGCCAAGGCAGACACTGAAGGCAGGAGCTGGAGGCACTAACTGAATCAGAGACCTTGAAGGAAGACCATTTTCTGGCTTTTCCCTTGCTTCCTCAGCTACCTCTCTTATACAGCTCAGGCCTGCCAGGGGCGGCCTCACCCAGAGCGGGTCGGGCTTTCCTACATCAATTAGCCATCAAGAGAATGCCTCCCAGACATACCCGCAGACCAATCTGATGGAGGCTCCTCTTCAGCTGAGATTCCCTCCTCCCAAGTATGCTCAGGTTTGTGCCTATTTGGCAAAATCTAGCCAGTGCAGCTTACTCCTTTTTGGCTTTAGCATACAAACACTTCACCTTAAACCATAACCTTTCTTTTTCTGTTTGTCTCCAAAGTCCCACATTCATAGCATAACATAAAGCATGGTATAACTTTCCGTGTTTAAATAGATGTTGAGCGCCTACTTTGCATATTAAGAATGCAGAAGAGCATGCCATGCATAAATCTGAATATAGCCAAAGAAAAAGTTAAGTTTTTTTCTACAGGGTTTCACCCTTTTCTCAAATGTTACAATTCGGCCTTCAGCCCTCAGCCTTCATACACAGGAGAGTTTTGCTCTAATCACAGGGTCTTGTATTCTCTATGGAGCTAATTTATACCATGAATAAAGTAGCAAAGCACCCACAGCCTTTTCTTTCCTTTTCATCCTTTCTTTTAAGTGTTAGCTAAGTTCTCACTTAGATTCATAACCCAACTACTTCCTAGTTTTTAAGTCCTGTATTCATAAGTGTCATTGTTATATGGTGGTGTTTCCTAAACCTTCCCTGATTTGATATTTCATTTACTGAATTTGTATAAACAATTGTACAAAACTACAACAATGAACTTTTAGATATACTATATTTTGTTAGAAGTTATGTTTCTATAAAATATCTCAAGTCTTTTAACTGCAAGGTCCTATGAAATTAAAAAAAAAAATAGTTAAGTACTCTCTTACTCCAAGTGGGAGGAACTAGTCCATTAAAACAATTGCCTTTATGCAAACCCAAGGTCCAGCAGTGTATCTCCAAATTCTTGTAGCTCCAGTCTGGCATCTGGGACTCTCAGGATCTGGGCCCCACAGGCCTTAGGCAGCTTCATGTCTCCAGCTCTCCCACCTGACACACACACACAGCTTATCCTCTAGGCTCAGGTTGGCTGTGTGCACACCTCCTTGGCAGGCTTTCCTCAGTCCTAGCATGTCCGGTATCTTGGGGGCTTCACCAATGACCTTTCACCAGTGACTCTGATCCTGCCCACTGACGGACTTCAGCTGCCCTCTGTGGCCCCTTCGTGCCTTCAAAGCCAGTACCCCATGGGAGACTGTTCCACGTTACTTGTCAAGTTCTGCTGCTAGCTTGCTATGAGTCTCTGGTTCACTACCGGGCCACAGCTATGTGTGCTTGCTCCGAGAAAGTAGTCTCCAGAAGATTTTGCCCTAACAATGCTGCTATCATGTTAATGACAGATCATTTTTCAGCCCAGCTAACCAGCCTTGATTGTCTCAGTAAAGCAAAGGTTTCGCTTCAGTGCCACTGGTCTCTCGTTAATCAGTCCGATTCTTCAGTACCAGCTGACAAGAAACCACAGATTTTCAATTCACAGTATCATAGGAACGGACATGATCGTCTTTGCTTCGCTCTCATACCTCACAACCCAGGCCTTCCTTATCTGCACTGCTCTCTGCATTCTCTCCTGGCTTCCCACGACAGCTCATCAAACTCTGAGGACTTCTAGCCAAAGTTTCAAATACTTCCACAGTGCCCTCCATTCCCCACACCAATTTCTGTTCTAGTTGGCTTGCTGTCGCTGTGACCAACACCATGATTAAAAGAAACTCGTGGAAGAGAGGGTTTGCTGTAGTAGTCTAGGTTATATTTCATCGCTGAGGGAGCCCAGGCAGGAACTAGAGGCAAGAGCTTGAAGCAGAAACCATGCAGGAATATGGCGTGCTGGTTTGCTTCCAAGCGCTTGTTCAGCTACCTTTCCTGTAAAGCCCATGCCCACGTGTCCAGGGATGGCACTGTGCACAGTGGGAAGGGCCCTTCTGCATCAATTAGCAATCAAGAAAGTTCTCGACAGACTTGCCCACAGGCCAGTCTAATGGGGGACTTCTTCAGCGGTGACTCCTGAAAAGCTAACCCCTCACCTCCCTTTCCTCTCTTGAGTTTCCCATTCTGGGCATACTTGCTGGGAGACTGGCCACCACAGCTCACAGCTACACTTTGCTGACCATCTCCTTCTCCTTCCCCCGAGTCAGGCTCATTCCCATCTCTCAGCTATTGGAGCCCTCCATGTAACCCTCGGACTGTTACTTCTTTATTTCTTGAGGAGTACTTGGTAGCTGTCACTAACACCCGGTGACACAGTTGTCATGAAGGTTAATTTGCTTTGAGCTTTAGTAGCTGTAAGCATCAAGAAAAAGAAATTATCGGCCCCTAGTTCTCCAGTTATGTCTTACCTTTCTTGAGATTGATTTTTTTAATTTAAATTATTAAATTTATTGCAGGGTAACTGAGAAATGAGTTCCCTGTGGTAAGCCTCTTTATCTTTAGGATTGAACTTCATAATTTACTGATTCATCTCATCGAGGCCACGGGCAGAGCTAACTTAATGCAAAGCCGACTTTTAGAGGGCCCGGAGTAGTATGTGGTGAAAATTAAGCCTCGATTGCTTTAATTCTTTGACTAAATCTTCTGTAGTCCTGGTACTCCTATATCCTTCCTAATTGTTACTATTGTATTCCTAGTAATATCCTTTTCCTTCCTGTGTCCCGCAAGATATACTGGTTGGCTTTGCTCTTCTGGCAAAACCTTCCCCTTTAAGAGACACTACTCATTCTTACAGCACAAAGCTAAAATTTTATTGTTTACAATAAACAAACAATACCAGGATGGTTACATTATTCCAATCACAAATTGTGCCGCACACTTTTTACTATTTTTGAACTGATGACCCCAAAGGAAGAAAATGGGAGAAAAAAACCCAACCCAAATAAACAATGAATAATATTCAGTCAAACAATCATTGAGTGACTGCGCACATGATTACACATGAAATACATGACAATTACACGCTGAACACGTGATGATCACACACAGTGCAACATGATTCGGCTCTTAAGAAAAATCAGTCTGAAGAATATTTAATGATATAGAGAAGATTGACATTCCAGCCCTTCTCAAAGAACGTTTAATGATCTTGGTCTCAGTTTCGTTGTGTGTTCACAGGTGTGTATCCACACATGCATGTTTACATACCTAGAGACACAACCGTTTGTGAAATGTGGGGGATACAGCACATCACAGTCACATACGTAAACACTTAAATAGTTTTTTCAAGTGCACAAACAAACCATTACGTGTGATTACATTTATCAGTAACTCGTTCTGCTAGGTATCCTTCCTGTAGCTCTCTCTTCGTTAAGTGCATAGAACTTTTGACAGGAAATGTTCGTGAAAAGCAACAACCAGGAGCTGGGGGCGGTGGTGCTCAGTGACATACTTCTGCTTAGCATGTGTAAAGCCCTGGGTTTGATCTCGGGGACGATACGCTAAAATCAAAATCCAAATGTGACCCACCCTGCTCTTTCATGGGTCTTCCTCCCGACTTTCTGACAGTCTTGTACCAGTTTTCTCCCGAGTTGTCCTTGGACCCTGACGTCTTCCACTTTCTCCTCTCCCTCTCAAGCCTTGGCTGGGAGCCTCTCCATGGCTGCTGGTTAGAGTGAACCCACGCATGCCCTGAGCCCTCTTCCCCACACTGTTGCCTGGCCGGGCACTGGATCTTGATAGGACCTGCTGGGTGAGCCTGCGGGCTCCACTCTTTTGGCTTTCTTGAAGCACAACCTTGCACTTTTTTGCTGTCCATCAATGTGGACACCCGGCATCCCTGACTCTCATTCCCCCTCCCGGACTCTCATTCCCCCTCCCCAACATGACTCTTTCCCTGTCCTCGACTTTGAGCCTAATTAAAACTGACTTTCATCTTAACTTCTGGTTTATATGTTTTGCTTTTGTATTTTATTAGTTTTTAAATAAGTGTGTGGCGGGGGAAGAGCATTTAAAATTTTGGTATCACAAGATCACATTAGCTTATAGGCTTGTCACCTCCACCGTTAATTCGTTGTTCTAAAACAAATTCAGCATTGAGGAGCAGTGTGAGGGTGAGTGTAATCTACAGAAATAGTACCCGTTTCTGAAGCAGTTAGATGGAATATGATTGAGGGGTTTCTTGTGCCTCTCAAAGCTTGAAAATAAGAGGCACGTGTTGGGCCTGGCATATCAAGTTGCAGTAAGACGAGGCGCATCCTCTCCTATTGAGGCTAGACTAGGCAGGCAACGGAGGGGGGCGGGGGAGACGACTCCTGCTTTTGCTGTTAGGAGTCCCACATGAAGACCAAGTTACACCACTGTAACGTGTGTAGAGGGCCTCGGGCAGTCCCTGCAGGCTCCCTGGTTGGTGGGTCCGTCTCTGTGAGCCCCTAGGGGCCCAGGTTGATTCCGTAGGTTTTCTCGTGGTGACCTTGCTCCCTCTGCTTCCTGCACTTCCTTCTCAGGATTCTTTAAGCTCTGCCTAATGTTTGGCTGTGGTCTCTGCATCTGTTTCCATCAGTTGCTGGGTGAAGGCTGTCTGATGATGACTATGCTGGGCTCCTGTCTGCAAATACAGCACAATATCACTAGCGGTGTCAGGGGTGGGCTCCTCTCATGGCCCAGGCCTCAAACTGGGCCAGTCACTGGTTACCCTCTCCCTCAATTTCTGCTCTGTCTTTACCTCTGCACATCTTGTAGGCAGGACACATTGTAGGTCAAAGGTTTGTACCCTCAATGGTAGAAAGGGTCTCTTCCTACTTTCCAGGATGGCTGGCTTTCAGCTTTCGATCCCCCCCGTCTCAGACTCCAGAATCTTTGGATTATTATAGTTGTTCTGTCTCCCTTTTCCCTACAGCATCTGTGCTCCTCCAGTTCTCTTGACCCTGGGTCCCTTCACAGCCCCACAAGCCTTCCAGAAGAACTAGAACAGTAGAAACTTCAAGTACAGTGGCCCAGTATTAGAGACTGGTTCTGAAGTCACAATTCTAACCTACCAGAGAGTAAAAGCAGGACTGTAGCAATGTAGTAGTTTTTAAAAAACACGATGTTGAAAGCTAGATGGCAATGTTCGTTATTTCTTTGCATGCTTGAGGTAAACTAATTTTGATGGAGTTCTGTACCCACTTAAACCCTCCATCAAATGTGAAGGTAGAATAAAGTCCTTGTTAGACATGCTTGATCCCAGAAACAAAGAAACTTTCCGTGACTCCTTTCTTGGGGAGATACCAGAACTTAGGGATCAGCCAACTGTGTCCTTAGGCCCCAATGTAACTTCTACCTTTTTGTGTCTATACATTTAAATGGTTACAGTTTAAATGTTTGTATAAAATAGCTACATATGTTTTATATTCTGCCTTTTGGCACTTTATTCTCCAGCTTTTTAAGGTGTTTGTTGATATCTACCCTGGACAAAGTGCCTACAGAGGTTTGAAAAGAGTATGTCTCCTACAGGCTGATGTGTTGAATGTTTGGTCCTGAGCTAGTAGCACTATTCTGTGTGTGTGGGGGGGGGGGGGGGGTTCTGGAAATGTTATGAGGTAAGGCCTGGGTACATGAAATAAATCACCAAGGGTAGGTCCTTAGGTTTATCTTGTTCTGCCCTTTCTTTTCTCTTTGCTTCCTGTCTTCCCTTAAAAGAACAGCCTGTTTCTTTTCCCTGTGCCTGTTCCTGCTGCCATGATGTCCTTCCCAAGTTCAGGGGCTAAGCAACTGTGAACTAATCTTCTGAGCGGAAATAAACCCTTCCTTCCTTATGTTGATCCTGTCAGGTATTTTGTCACAGAGATGAAAAAAAAAAGTAACAAAACCGCACTCTGCTGGATTAGGACGTAAATTTAAGAAAGAGAAGCCATGAAACCAAGAACTAAGACACAGAGCAAGGAGAAGAGGTGGAGGAGGAGAGAGATGTCAGGAGCCGAGGGAAATGGGCTCAGACCTTAGCAGAGGACACAAGGTTCCCAGCGGGTATTCAAGAGAATAGTAGAAGTGCTGAAGATGTGTTCCACCTACTGAGAAGGACTTTGTATCTCTTTGTATGCTTAGGAATTCGGGGAGGTTTGTAGCTGTAGATAAGATAGGAAATTAACCAAAAGATAGACGAGCTGTGTTGACTCCTTGGGAAAATGAGCTGACTAAGAAAGGAAATGTAGTCATAGAACATCCTGAATAAGCTGAGTGCTATTTAAATCATAATAATCTAACTGCCAAGTGTGATCTAAGCAAGTATTGACAGAGAACAAAATTAGAAGGTAGACGGAAAAACAAATAGGGAAGACAATGAAATTTCCACCTTCTGTACTGTGAGGGTGAGAGCAAATAAAACTAAGAATTAAAAGTATAAGCGTATAATTTAAATAGTGGAGGCCGCTAGCCGCTAGCCATGGAAACAGCTGAAACTGCTTGAAGTGGTTTGTCTCTAAGGAGCCAGCATCAGAGATGGCTCAGGAGACGTTCCATTTTACCGTAAGTTTTATAGATTAGTTTGATTTGGAAGTGATATACTTACATTACTTTGAAATTAAAAAAAAAAAAAAGCACACACAATTAGCCTAGCTTGTCGTCCTAGAGAGTAGAATGACAGCCACAACGCCCAGAGGAGGAAGGACTGAAGCATCCCACGTGTACGAAGTTCCAGGTTATCACTGGTGTTCTTCATATGAATTCTAATCCGGGTCAGAACTGAGAGACAGTCATGCAGTGGTGGTTTTCTATATTACAAGTCCAGGCTGTGGCTGTTGGGTGCGTGAAGCATGATTTCTGGTCTCAAGGAGTTTAGGTTGGTGGGAGATAAAGTTGTTCATCTAGACGACGGATGACTGACGACAATTAATGCCTCAAAGATAGGAAGAGCGTTCGTTTCTCTCAGGAGCCTGCAGTTCTTCAAGTGGAGCCCTCGAGGCTGAGGAGGAACGGGGTGGAGAAGGGGTTACGGTGTCCTAGCGCAGGGGGCAGATGGAGCCGAGCCATACAGGGGGCTTTGGTATCAGAGGTCATGGTATGGTTGAGACCAGAGTGTAGTGCCAGGTCA